AAAGAAAGAAAGAAAAAGAAAACAAGAAATTCTAAGTTTGAAATCCAGTAAGTAATGTCAATTAGAAAAACTAGAAGGACAAACTGCCCAGGCCGCACTTCTGTCCCTCTCTCAGACAGAAGCTTTCTTTCCCCAGTAAATATATGTTGCACTTAACCTCCACTTGTTCCTAAAATTCATTCTTCAGTTTTAGAGACAACGAACTCATCCCAGGTACCTTTCAGGTCGGGAGTTTCATTTCCCCTATATCATTTCGAGGTCATCTACTGAGATCACTGGATGGAAGTATGAGTTTGTTTTCTTTCATAGCTTCCGGATTGGAACTCATTTAGGTAACAAACTTTTATGCTTCAAATGTTGATATGGCTTTGCTCAGTGCTCACAATTGTCCATGCTTTCCCTCAGACAGTTTTGTCTCATAGTTCTATTAAAATTGCTTATAATTGCTTGTTTTTTCTCTCATATGATTTTGTTCAATGCTTGGTCTAAATGTTGCAGGTAAATCTAAGTTTAAAACATGAAAATGTTATAAGGTTATAATATTTCTCTAAAGGGATATTTTCTGACTGTTTTGTGCTTGTGTATGAACTAACTGCTAAGTGTATCGATATTCCTTGCTTGACTTCAGACAACAGTGCTAAAGAAAGTAACAATAGAAAGCCTCCTAGGGGCTGGTGAGATGGCTCAGTGGTCTAAAGCACCTACTTAGAACAAGCTTAGCAAAGCACAGGGATAGCGGTTCAATCCCCCAGCACCACATGCCAGTCAGCCCTGCCCCCGGTGGGCTGAGCTGGCCCCCCACACACACACACACAAATAAATAAAAATAAAATTTAAAAGAATCATTTAAAAAAAAAGAAAAAAGAAAAGAAAGCCTCCTAGGTTGGGGTTTGTTTCCCAGCATGCTGGCAGCACTTGGGAGGCTAAAAATGGGAGAATCACTATGAATCTGATCTACATAGTAAGACCCTGTAGGCCCTGTAGACTCTGCCCTAAATACAGGGAAAAAAAGAAAAAAAGAAAGAAAAGGAAAAAAAAGAAGAAAGCCTCCTAGTAGACTTTATAGAAACTTCTGTAAAATAGAACTTTTAAATGTAGCTCAGACTTAGAAAATATACATGCCTGTGTATGAAACACTCAATTCCTTTTGCCAACTAAATGACATTATGTCGGCAACTGTTCTTAAAGACTTGGAGGACTGGGACAGTCGGCTCCGATTCCCCTCTATATGCTAAAGGAAATGCGAGGCCTGCTCTGTTTCTTTGAACTTACTCCTAGTTTCCCTAGCTCTTTGTACTTTCTATTTTTTTTATATTAATTATTGAGAAAGAAATAGCTTTGAGACAGTTTCAAAACAGGTTAGTAGGACAGTTACAATAATTAACACATTGTAGGGGCCCAGGAGATAGCTCAGTAGAATAAGTGCTTGCCAGGCACGAGGGCCTGAGTTCAATTCCCAGTTCCATTAAAAAAACAAAACAAAACAAAACAAAACAAAGCCTAACACATTGCATATTATTGTCTTTGTAATAGCTATTCATAGTACAAGATGCAGATATGATATCTTGTCTAAACACTGTTAGTACAAATCTTTCTTCTCATTGAATTAAGAGAAAGTAGCTGTATATCAATCCTATTTTGTATATACAGATATTACAGATATATATTTTTTCACTAAAAAATGATCCTTCATTTATATCCCCCTTTTTTGTTTACTTTTGTCAGAGATGAGTATCTATCACCATTCAAATACTGTAGGTGTGTGAATTCAACAAAGTAATCCAGGGGCTGG